TTTCTCCCACAAAACGCTACGTCCAGATGAACAGAATCAACTTTTGGAATAAACAAAAAACGTTTATCTGAAGTCTCACTTTGCTTCTGGTGATTCGACACATAATTTTTCATCACTGATCAAATAGAGTTGGTAAGATATACCACCACTGTTTCTGTCTAGTTGATAGTAGACTTTTCTCTCCACCTATCTGGGACTGTAAGAGGAACATGTTGCAGAAATAGTTGTGTTATATTGTTGAATGATCACTGTCTATTAACATTACAGATTACAACACTTTGCAGAACTAATAATACTTGCTGCCTAGCTCCCACATTAAGATTATTATTTTATTATTGGAAATAGCCGCTACTTTAATGCTAACTTAACAGACGGGTAATGTGGCTCTTGAATAACTGCTACAAGTTTAACAGTTGTGTGCAGTAGCCAAGTTAATGTTTATGATAACTGTTTAATACATTTTTTTTTAGAAACACAAGCTTTAGTGACCTTTCAAAAGTCTTCATGACCCTAATAAACTTTTCTGGTTTGTAAAAAGCTTTCAGACTCAGATAGCACGTCTGGTATCAATACTACTGCTAATGTGTATCCAATAGCTATTTTGATTCATATCAGAGTATTGATTTCTATTGTAACCCTACTCCACAGAGTAACAGTGCTAACAACTGTACCACCATGCTATCCGTATAGTAGCTTCTATTTAGCTACTTTTCTTTGTAATTTTTTTTTGTCTTCTGTGACAGAGATGCAACATATAGGGTTCATACAAATATTTAAAATCAGTCAAAACAAGTCCCCTCCCCTAGAATTAACTGACTGTTTTTTATGCATTTGTCATATTTTCAAAATGTTTAACAGCTTGTGCTTTGCAGATTTAACCTGCAGCATTTGCAGATGTCATGAGCAACATGCCCAGTTCTGATAATTGTGACATTATCAAAATAGGATTTTCCAAATGATTATCATGAGCTGGTACCGTAAAGCAGTTAGCAGATAGGGGTCTAATTTTAGTTTTGATCACAGTTTTGATCCAGCCAATCAAACCAAGCTGAAAAAGAAAATCCAACTGTTTTCTAGATTATCATCATTACAGTGTAAGTTAACACTAATAATTATGTAGCAGCCATCTGCATGTGAACAGTGAAAGTTCTACGCGATATCATTTTGCTAACCATGTAGAAAAGACAAATACTGGATTCTAAGCACACATCATTTCCATTGTTTGCCATCTGATGATGGAAACAGGCCAACAGTACTTAGCGAAGAGGAAATTAACTCTGCCAGAATAGAATTTGAAAGATTTCAAAACAAGTATAGTAGTTTCATTTAATTGTTATTTAAGAAAATTAAAATGACACAGACACCATCATGACTAGTTCATGTCTGGTCTGGTATCACACCTAAAAAACATCCAGGATAACCACAATACTGTTGGTTTCACTGAACAAAAGTCTCCAATAGTATGTTTTGCATAGTTTCATTACTTCTTTTACACAAACACACACATTTAGAAATATTATCAGTTGACTCTGAGTTGGTTGGATGAGAGACATTCACTGTTTTTTAAGGAATGCCCAGTAAAGAATGGATCTATAGAATCAGCTTCATTTTTGATGGAGAGAAAATATTGCTCATACTGGTAGCAGCAGTAACAAGATAAAAATCAACCTGCTCCATGATGTCTTTCACTTTATCTTGTTCGCAGTCCAGTATGATGCGTCGTTCCTTACGGATCTCCAGGTCCTAAAAAAATAAGACAACAAGCATCCAACATTATTACACAGTCTTTAAAGATTTGTGTGCTCACAGTACAAGATCAAATTGCATCTTCCTGAGGTGCAGTGCTGCCACATACTGCTTGACACCATAGGTTAGACAAAGATATTTATTATAACTAGCTACAAAACCCTGAAAAGCTTTCTGGAAAAGACAAACTAAAAGCTTAAGCTTATTTTAGTATTTAAAACAAGCATATGTAAAAACAATAGATAACATCAAAGCAAAGTATACTCTACAATGCTGTACAGCTGCTACACTGTACAGCTGACAAAGCCCTTTTCCCAAGACATCACAGACCAAGTTTTGGTCAGGACCCATAGGCTTCAAATTGTAAGGCACTAGCTACTGTGTCAATATGTGGTGGGAGTGGGAATGTGCTGAGCTAACTTTAGAATAAGTGCATAAAAGCATGTTTTTATTTTTTGAGGGGTTTTTTTTATGTCCTTTCAATCAGTGATCAGAATTATTGTCTAAACACCAAGAAAAGTGCCCAACAGATTTGTTTTCCCAAGTAGACCATTACAGCTATTGCTATACGGTCCACTTAATTGTCATATTTGTTTTTATTATTATTATTATTATTATACATTTTTATTTAATTTTCATTTTGAGTTATTACAATCAGAATGGACAGGACCGGGGACAGGAAAGAGAAAAAAAGAGAGGTTGGGAAGAGAGTTAAATGAAGGAGATGGGAAGAAAAATAGAGGAAAAGAGGGATAGTGAGAGAAAAGACACTGAAAATCTGCTTGATCACCTGCTGAGAGAAAAAAAAGACAACCAAAAAGAAGATAACACAGTAGGGAAACCACAGGTAAATAATAAATATTGAATGTTACTGAGCAGCATACAGTACTAATAATGCATGAAATGTTTAGAGGCATCAGCCAACCAAAATAGTGTGTGTCTGTGAGTACCTGTTTGTACACCTGTGTGCACACCTGTGTGTGTGAGCGCGCTTATGTTCATAGGATTTCTCCATGTAAGCATCTAATAGTGGGTATTGGAAGCCATAGCTCTGCCCCCCAGGTCATGATGCAGGACAAAAAAACATCCATCCATCTGCTTCCGCTTTTTTCAGGTCGTGGGTGGGGGCTGGAGCCCATCACAGCTGTCTTAGGGTGAGAGGCAGGGTACACCCTGGACAGGTCACCAGTCTGTCGCAGGGCTAACACACAGAGACAGACAACCATTCACACTCACATTAACTCCCCTTTGGGCAATTTAGAGTTTCCAATCAACCTATCCTCACTAACTGCATGTATTTGGACTGTGGGAGGAAACCGGAATACCTGGAGAGAACCTACGCAGACACGGGGAGAACATTCAAACTCCACACAGAAAAACCCCAGCCTAATGGTGGAATTGAACTCAGGAGCTTCTTGCTGTGAGGCAACAGTGCTGTTTGGCTTCTCTGAGTGTTTAGTCCATTTTAAATTCTGTTACCTTCTGTTAACCTACTTTCATGTGTTCCCTGGACTCCTAGACTCTGTTACCTTTCCTTCATGGAATTCCTTTTGGACTGCTACTTTTTATTGTACATAATAAAGATGTTTTTTTTTTGTGGAAAAATCATCATTCCAGAAGAGGGTTGTATATGATGAATGGAGGGTCCTTCGCCAAGGGGAAGAGGTGGCTGTAGCTCAGAAGGATGCCCAGGCCATCAACTAATAAGAAGGTTGGTGTTCTGATCCCTGGCTACTCCAGTCTGCGTGCCAAATATCCTTGGGTGACATACTAACTACAAGTTGCTTTCTGATGCATTCACTGGAGTGTGAATGTTAGTAGTTAGGAAATAAAATGCTCAGATGCTCAGCACTATATGAGGACATTTTGCTTTTATATTGATAAAATGTTTTCATATAGCTGGATTAATGTGACTATTTTATTTTCATGTCAAATAGTTGGACTGAGTGCTGGTGGAAAAAAGACTTGTTTTGTAAAAACACTTTTTTGAGAATTGTGAACATGGTTTAAATAAAATAACTGAAAAAAACATATGGAGTTATTTCAACATTTATCCACTGAACTGTGAACAAAAAATAAAAAGACTGAATTCTTGGAACAATTCTCCAACTCATTTGAAGAGAGAGAAAAAAAGGAAAGAGAAGCTTGTTTGTTATAATCTAACCAAAATAACTTAAATATTTTAGACTGTGTCATTTGCTAAATTACTATGGCATAGTCAGGATTTTCACATCAGGCCAACTGCAGTGCATGTACTTGCCAAAGAATAAATAACATAACAGAAGACAGTGTTGAAAATGCTGGTTAGCAGCCTAAACTGATGAAAAAGCTGTTATGACCAAAACTTTAAATTTGTGTCTAAAATTTGATTTTCTCGGTCTCTCTCTTGCATTCCAATATAAGAGCAGAAAACCAGTACCTGAAACAGGGACCGGTAGGCTTCATCCTTTCTCTCATCTTTCAGGTTTCCTACATTTATTGCAGTGACGACCCATTTTTTCTCTGCTGCAGTGTCCAGTATTACCTGAAGAGTCGAAAGACCTACACACACAGAGTCTCATTATTAATAATTAATAATTCATTAACTTATACATTTGTAGAACATATCTCTATCTCATTCTTTTCTATTTATATGAAGCATATTTCTCTGCCTTGCTGTGCTTTCTATAACTGTAGCAAGTTTCTGCATTTGCTTAACATTTTCTGTATTTACAATTATTTCAGTATCTTATCTTCAAAATTAAGCACTAGCAATATTTATGCGATAAATGATGAGAATTTCCTTACCTCGATCACTGTCATACAGATAGGCAAACTTTTCCCATTTGTAGTATTCCACTAATGAAACTAGTGGCCCCTTGATGTCCGGCCTCATTTGGAGAACAAACTGATTCATTCCTTCTGCTGGGAAAGAAGGTGTAATGAAGGAGACATGAAGTGTCTCACAAAAGGATGTGATGGTGTTGACCGATTTCTTGTCATAGAAGCCAAAAATGGCATAGACACCCCGAGAGAACTGGGAACAAACTAGGAAAGAGAGAAGAAGAGAAAGATTGTACAAATTAAACAGTGAGTTCACAGGACCTGGGAAGAATATTTGCACTCATTAAGTGTCCCAGTGCCTTTATCCCAAATAAACACTAAACGCACACTTATATTTAATCACATTGAAGAACAGTTTTTTAAATTGGGGTACATTAATAAGCACAGTAGTTACAATAGGAGTGGCAATTCTGTGGTTCACAATAACAAGTAAAATAAAATATTTCTAAAACAAAGCAACACAAAAAATTTTAAAAAAGAAGTGCTTCTGTCCAATTAAAAGCTAGAGGGCTTTATATCTGATATAGACAGTGCTAAGTTTCTATAAGCTGCATAAAACAGTATAAGAGGCCAGGTGTAATAAGCTATAACCAATTACACTTAAGAGAAGAAAATTAAAATGCCAGTTCCAATCATCTGTTGAGAAAAAATGTATGTATTTTGTGTCAGCATACATGATCCAGCTGTGTGGCTGCAGGAAGGTGAATTATTCTGAATGAGAGAATTGGTATTAAGTATCCCACTGTGGAAAGTGACGTCGGCGTGACGTCTTTCATGAATCATTTTCCAGATTTGGTCCACTGAAGGGGTTGTTTTATAACACCAGGCAACATCTTTTTTTTCCTAACTCTGGTGAAAGTATGTTGTTGTCAGCAGTACGGCCACGGTGTACGGGCTATTTATAGTCCAAATATGGTTGTTGTGAATGTCTTTTCAAAGTCAAACTTTGACTCATTTTAGAGATAATTTTTATAAACCAGCAGAACCAGCAGAAAAACCACAAACCTCTCTTACTTTCCATCACAACTTCTCCCACCTTCTCTCAACCTTAAAAATTAACTATATATAATGCAAATGCACTTTGACACATTGCTTCACAAATTTAAACGAGCAAAGGGAATTTCAATTTCAAAAATACTTTAACCATTATTATTTTACATTTTAAAATGGATTTCATCGTTTTTAATATATCAACAGATTTTAATAAATGACATTTTTAACCTTGTTACTAACAAATAAGTTGATATACTAAAATAAATAAACCAGTTAAAGAAAAACAGAAAAATGCAAAATAACAAAAAGAATTACCCATGTGTAGTGAAGAAATCAATAGGCTAACACATAATAAATTATATTTGTTTATACATAATCCATATTCATTTGTATCATGTTGACAAAATCAATGTTAATATTTGTAAATTTAAAAAATTACATTTATTAATCATGCAAATTTCCTGCAATTGTCATAGACGTCAACATGATGTCCAAAAATATTACCCAATCCAAAGTTCAAATGTTGATCAACATATTATCATCCAAGTTGGGTCATGTTTAGGTGTCCAAATTGTGAAACTTGTTTGGACGTCATATAGATATCTAGAATTGGTCATGGACTGAGGGACCCAATATAGACATGGTCTCCATCTTGAATTAACTTCATTATTTATTTCCACCAAATCATTAATGTGTCTTTTAGATCCCGTTTCTACAAGACTGCTCAAAGAAACCCTACAATTAATTGATGCTTCAGTCTTAAATATGATCAGCCTATCTCTAAATAATCAGCAACAGGCCTTCAAGCTGTCAATGTTAAACGCTATCTAAAACATCATCACCTGAGCTTAGCTCGTTAGTTATAGGTGAATCTCCAACTTCCCTTTATTTAAAAAAAATTCTGAAAGAGTAGCTATAAAACAACTAACTGATCATCTGCAGAGGAACATCTGCATTAAATTTCCTACACAGGGGGAAAAAAACCCCATTTTGGACAATGTTTTCACCACTCAGAAAGGAGATTACAAAGCCCTCCCCCTCCACCACCTTGGTGCCTGTCTTCTATTCTGTTTTCCTTCTCTCACCCCAACTGGTCACAGCAGATGGCCCCGCCCCTCCCTGAGCCTGCTTCTGCTGGAGGTTTCTTCCTGTTAAAAGGAGTTTTTCCTTCCCACTGTCACCAAAGTGCTTGCTCATAGGGGGTCATATGATTGGGTTTTTCTCTGTATGCATTATTATAGGGTCTACCTTACAATATAAAGCGCCTTGAGGTGACTGTTGTTGTGATTTAATAATGATAATGGATTGCATTTATACAGCACGCTTCTAGTGCTTTACAATTCCACTATTCATTCACTCTCACATTCACACACTCGCTGTACAACTGGGGCAGACTGACAGAAGCGTGCCATTGGCCCCTCTGGCCAACACCAGTAGGTGGTAGGGTAAAGTGTCTTGCCCAACAACACAATGACCAGGACAGCAAGAGCTGGGGGATCGAACTGGCAACCTTCCAGTTACAGATGAGGTTCCCAACCCCCTGAACCACAGTCGCCTCAATTTGGTGCTATATATATAAAACTGAACTGAATTGAATTGCCTACCTGGAATTGGCATAACTGTTATGCTAATTCCAGCATACAAGCCCCTGGTCAAAGTCACCAAACCAGTTTGTAAGCAGGTACATATGTGGTCTCAGAGACAATGGAAGACTGTTTTTCCACCACAGACTGGGAGGTCTTTAAACAGGCCACCACACGTGACAACACCACAGACCTGCAGGAATAATCAGAAACTGTCATTTCCTATATCTCAGAGTGCATCGATGATTTCACAGAGACCAGGACTATCACTATCCAGGCCAATCAGAAACCATGGCTCACAGGTGAGGTCTACAGGCTTCTGAGGGAGAGAAATGCAGTCTTCAGAGCTGGGGATTAGGTGAGCCTAAGAACAGCAAGGGCAAACCTGCATCAGAGAAGTGAAAAGGCAATACTCCAGGAGGATTTCGCAAAGCTGGACGAGCACAGAGGGACTGTGCTGCAGAACTCACAGATGTCTTCACAGACATCTTTAATACATCACTGAGCCAAGCTGTCGTTCCCACATGCCTCAAAGCCTCCACCATCATTCCTGTACCAAGGAAGTCTCCTCCCTCCTGCTTTAAGAACTCAAGTGCTTTGAACAGTTAGTCATGCATCCATTTAAAACATCTCTTCCCCCCAAACTGGATCCATTTCAGTTCATATACCGGTCAAACCACTTGACCGATGATGCATTCTCAACTGCCCTTCACTCAGTCCTCACACATCTGGACACTAGAGACTCATGCGTCAGAATGCTGTTCATAGACTTCAGTTCAGCATTCAACACGATCATTCCCCAGCAACTCATTCACAAACTGGATCTGCTGGGGATCAGGAACTCGCTTTGTAACTGGCTGCTGGATTTCCTTTTTTTTTTTTTTTTTTCCTGCCTGTCCCATTTGGCTCTTTAGCCATCAGAATTGTTGTCTGAAGACCAACAAGGATACCCAATGGATTTACTTTGCCAAATGGATCATCGTGGCATTGCCGTATTGGTCCATTTGGTCGATCTTTGTTTTTATTATTTATTATATTTTATTTTCAGATGTTACAGACGGGACAGACATGAGTGAGGGATAGGAAAGGGAGAAAGAAAGAGGAAGGAAAGGGAAAACAGAAGGGGAGAGGGACAGTGAGAAAGGGGGGGAGAAAAGAAATAAAAATCTCCTGGATCACCTGTTGAGAGAGAAATAGAAAACAAGCAAGGCTGCTGGATTTCCTGACAGGAAGACCACAGACAGTACATGTCGGCTGCAACACTTCCAACACAAGAACACTGAACATGGGGGCTCCCCAAGGATATGTGCTGAATCCCCTTCTCTTCAGTCTGCTGACCCACGACAGCACGCCATCACACAGCTCCAACATCTTCATCAAATTTGCAGATGACACAACTGTGGTAGGTCACATCAGCAACCATGATGAGCCCTACTACACGAGTGAAGTTAACCATCTGGCTGAGTGGTGCAGTGACAACAATATGCCCTGAATGTGGAGAAGACTAAGGAGATCATCACACCCTGCACACCCCACTAACCATCAATGGTGCTGCTGTGGAGAGGGTAAGCAGCACCAAGTTCCTGGGTGTGCACATCTCAGAAGATTTCTCTTGTTCAAAAAACACAGCATCACTTGTCAGTAAAGACCAACAGCAACTCTACTTCCTCCGCAAACTGGAGAGCAAGAGCCTCATCCCCCATTGCGAGCACCTTCTACAGAGGCACCACTGAGAGCAGCATCACTGTGTGGTATGGCTCCTGCACTGCAAAGTAACGAGTAGTGAGAGCAGCGGAGAGGATTGTGGGCACTTCTCTTCCCTCCCTCCAGGACATCTACTGCACCCACTTCACCTGAAAGCCCTCTGCATTACAGGTGACTCCACTTATTCATCCAACAGCTTCTTCAGTTTGCTGCCATCGTAAAAGAGACTGAAGAGCTTCTGGGCCAGAACCAGCAGACTGAGAGACAGCTTCGTTCATCAGGCTGTTAGGATGCTGAATTCCCTCCCTGCTCTGTCCCTCGCAACTCTCACACACACGAACTCCAGACCTGCATTCACCTCTTCCCTCTGAACCCCCCCAGACCTCTACCAACGCCTTTTCACTGACTGCCCCACCCCCACTTGCACACGAACTCTTGCCAAAAAGCACTCTGATTGTTGGACACTGTTGTTTATGTAAAATTGTATTGTGTTGTACATAAGACTTGCATTTTATTTTTATGTTTATATTGTTTTAGTGTACACTGAGGGCCGTGGGAGAATTGCAGTTTCAAATTCCTGTGTATCAGCTTTCAGGTTTCAGAGCATGTCACAGTACTGAAACAGCTTTAGTGAAGAATACAAATAATCTTCTTATATTCCTTCTTATATTTTATCATTAGAGAATGTTGTAGGCATTAGAGGTACTGCACTGCAATGGTTTAAATGGCATCTATCTAATACACTTCAATTTTTATGTAAATGAAGAGTTAATTATGGAGTTCCACAGGGTTCCATGCTAGGACCAATTGTATTTCATAATATGTTTGCATTAGGCAGAATCATTAGAAGGAATAGGAAACATTTCCCGCTGCCTTGCAGAGGACACAATTTTTTTCTATCCATGAAACCAGATAACACACACCAATAAGTTAAACTACAGAATCATGGACATGTCCTTCAATGTCCATATTAACAAATATGTAGCACTGCTTTGTCCCATTTGCACAATATCTCTAAAATTCAAAACATCCTGTAAGAGTGCTGAAAAACCAGTTCATGCATTTATTAATCCTAGGTTGGACTACTGTAAGTCATTATTATCAGGACGTCCTACAAACTCCCTGAAAAGCCTTCAGTTAATCCAAAATGCTGCTGCATACTGTACTAAAAGGGACTAGAAAGACAGAGCATATTTTCCCAATACTGGCTTCACTTCAGGGTCTCCCTGTTAAATCCAGAATCAAATGTAAAATCATTCCTCTCACATGGAAGGTCTTGAATAATCAGGCCCTATTCTATCTTAAAGACCTTACTGTACTGTATCACTCAAACAGAGCACTTTGCTCTCAGACTGTGGGCATACTGTGGTTCCTAGGATATTTAAAAGTAGAATGAGAGGCAGAGCCTTCAGCTTCCAGGAGATTTCTTCCTGTTAACAAGGGTTTTTTGCTTCCCAGTATCACCATAGCTCTTGTTCATTGTCAGTCATCTGATTGTTGGGGTTTTCTCTGTTTTCTCTGTATTGTTTCCCTGTTGTGATTTAGTGCTATATAAATAAAACTGAATTGAAGGGTTTAGGGTTCAGGGAACAGCCACAGCACACTGCACAACTATTGCTACATATTGCCATGTTTGTATTTTTTTAAATTTCAAGTATTATTCTAGAATTTTAAATAATGACCCAATAAAATTGTTTAAAAATGAAGAAATCAATACTTACAGCAGTTAGTAACAGCAAAGCTGTTGGCCACCTCCAGGTTATCTATGTGTGGAGTTAGCCTGAAATCTGCCATCCCAAACTGAACCATGCCAACTCGGAATGCACTGTACTCCTGATCTGCGCCTCTGGGAAATAAACCACCTGAGAAAAACAGAGACAGAAAAGGTCGTGATCATAAAGAAAAACAAAAGTAAGTGGAGAAACAGGTTTTCTAGCTACAAACATGTTGAGATAGGGACATTTTTACCACTTTATGTCTTAAAAAACAACAACAAAGAAATTGCAATCCTTCATTAACAATTGCTAAATTTTATATTCGTCAAAATGTTTTTATAATGTGATATGGAATCTCAGCAGTTTAGGCTCTCCTTTTTCATATTTATTGAGTTCTTTACTTTTTTGTTTGTTTGTTCTATATTAGTTCAAATGTTCTGCATTTCTCTCATAAACTTCATACCTACCTGACACCTCCTCATCACCTTTCTTCCATTTACCTACATGTCCACTGAAGTCTGCTCCAATCACCAGTCTTTTCCACATGGGGAAACTTTCTACCACTTCAGCTAGCTTACTTCAGAATCCTTCTCTCTCTCTCTCTCTTGTCTGACAACCTATGCATTAAGCCAAGTGCTGGCCAATCCCATATGGAAATCTTATTATTTATCAGCATGTTTGATTTGGTAAATATTTTATATTGGGAACTCTTCCTGACCCAGAACTCCCCGGTTGTCTGGGTTTAGGAACAGCAATAGAAATACTAATCAGTAATTCTGAGCTAGAGTCTGCCTGAGACAGAGATATCTATCTCAGGCAGACATTGTCTCTCTAAAGGACATATGTCCAAAAAATCGGTACATACATTCACCACTCCACAGTTCACTCACGTTTGTCCTGTTACAACTCAAAACAAAAAGGCAGAGTGATGTTAATTAAAAGAAACATAAACATTACCATTAGTAAGACTGTAGCAGATGTGGAAGGTAGATTTATAACACATAGCTCTCTGCGGTATTTCACCTTTAACAATGGTTTACCTTGCCTTCTTTCGCCTCTGTCAGTGCGCCCCAGGGTGGCTGTGGCTACAATGTAGCTTGTCATCACCAGTGTGTGAATGTGTGTGTGAATGGGTGGATGACTGGATATGTAAAGCGCTTTGGGGTCCTTAGGGACTAGTAAAGTGCTATATAAATACAGGCCATTTACCATTTAGCCATCACTGTCTGAAGTTATTTTTTTCATTTCCACATACTGTATTACCACAACTGGTCTAAAAGCACACAAAAAACATAACATCAGAGTGGGAAAAATGTGATTTTGTTTACTATGATGTCTCTAATGAATCATTTTTATAATTTGAAATGCAAGTATAAATCAGAAATTTCAGAAATGTATGCACATCCAATGGATGTGCTGGGATGCATCATTAGCAGTGTTGGGTAAGTTACTTTAAATTAGTAACTTAGTTACATTACTAGTTACTTCTATCAAAAGTAACTCAGTTACTTCAAGTTACTCGTTACTTTCAGAGTAACTAGTTACTAGGGAAAGTAACTTTGGTTTTACTCAGAATTCTCTTGTTAATTGTTGCTTCCGTAACTGGATACCCAGCAAGATTGCCAGTCTTCTAGCTTGCTTACTTGCCACAAGTGCACTGTGCCACCTACCAATAGAAAGGAAAAAATAATGTGCACATTTCCACCTGATTCTATCCTAGCCTGCTTTTTACATCCAACACAAAAACTGCAGTCGTGGTGCTTTCGATTGTACTCAGAACTCGGAAATTCTGCCTTCTGAATAGGAAGATGTAGGTAACACCAGACTGCAGATGAGCTGCATACAGGGCTGGACTGGGACAAAAAAATCGTCCCGGGCATTTTGACTAGAGACCGGCCCACCATTATAGGAAAAATCATAAAGCCTTTGAATGAAAATAAACACTGTTGTGACAGTGATGTACACTGTTCTGATGGTATATATGCATCAATCTATCAATCGTTTGTTGAAGACTCAGATAATTATTTTTTTAAAAGTTTGCGAGATCTGCAAAACAAACTCGGATCTCGCAAAAGTTTTAGCCGCATTCTTCCCGTTAGCTCGAAGCTAACGGGAGGTCGAGACCACTACAGCCGGGAGGAACACCGCTTTCCCGGCACATCGTGCCTCGACCTCCCGGTCGGCTTCGAGCCGGCGTCCGAAGAATGCGGCTAAAAGTTTTGCGAGATCTCGCAAAACTTTTGCGAGATCCCGAGTTTGTTTTGAGATCTCGCAAAAGTTTTGCGAGATCCCGAGATAGTTTTGCGAGATCTCGCAAAAGTCCGTCTTAATTTTTTTTTCTCCCATGTCCCCTGCGGGGCTCCGTACCTTTTCACCTCAATACGAAACGCGTAATATTTTCTCTGAATACGAGACGATTCCGTTTTTTACGGGACGGTTGGCAACTCTAATAATTAACCTTATGAACAAAATAAAGTTCAACATCAGTAACATAGCACCCACCCAGCTGTATAGAAACTCCGTCATGCTAGCTAGCACGCAGTACGAAAAAGTCAGCATAACGAAAATAAACTCCACCTAAACTTGGTTTATATCTGACCCAGATGGACTGCAGGTATAACTTCTTACCTGAAGTTCAGTTCACCTGACACTCTCGGACCAGCGGCCGCTTCGGGTCTCTCCTCTTGCCTCCCTTTTCCTTCATCCACCTGCTGGCTTCCACCACTTGCTAATGTTATTGAATCTGTGGAAGCTCCGCGATAGCCACCACACGAAGTAACGATAACGAGCCTATCTAAATCCCAGTAACGAGTAACGCGTTCCTGGTTTTGGCATAATAACTAGTTACCGTGCTCGTTACCACAATAATAACGTAGTTACTGTAACGCCTTACTTAATAACGCGTTAGTCCCAACACTGATCATTGATCAGTGATGTATCCTGGGTTCATTAGGTGTTAGGATCTTACAACATCTTACACCCTCACCCAGGTGACCCAGCCGAGGTTGATCATGCCCTTGCTGCAGCAGCATTTGGCCATGAATCACCCCTCTCAATCCACAAGCACCAGGAAGCTTAGCAGTGTGTACGCTCTGTGGAGAGACTGGCCGGTGATGCCTCTGCAGCCTACTTCCACAGGGCATGCTTGCTAAACCACAGGGCATGCTTGCTAACCCTCCAACACTCTTCCAGAACACCCTGGCATTTGGCCAGCTACCTTCCAAATGCCCTCTATGCAGTCTCCAAGGAACCATCAATTCTATCAGAGCTATCTGTCTTGAGGCCTCTGACATTATCACAATATCTGGGCACAAAGATGTTTCTGCAATGTGTGCTGGATTGTGAGCGTTAGGTTGTTGCTTACTTGCTGTTATCACCGAGGAGATGATTTCACCAGTTACCATCAGCAGCTGGTCATGGTGCAAGCAGCGGTATAAGGACTCAGTAAGATATCATATACAGCTTGGATGAGGAACTTTTATCACTACTTCTTAGCCAGTAGATTGCTGTTCTTCAAATTGGATCAAATCAAGCTCAGTAGACAACCCATGGTTGGACCTAGGACAAGCATTCTGTAGAAAATTAAAAATCTCTGATTTGCCTTTTATTAGCTCTAGAGTTAAGAATCATAACTGCCTTAAAAGTCTTTGCAGAAACACTTCTCTGACATCCTGCTGGGAATTTCTAAAAATAACAAAGTCTTCCTTTACCTCATGTAAACTGACAACCATTTGAAACAATCCAAATGGGTGTCCAGAACATGTTATTCAACAGAAAACTTATTTTCATTCAAAGAACTTTTATCAAATTATGGAATCAGCAACAGTAAATTTCTTGAATATCAGCAAGTCCATCGTACAGAAAACAGCCGTCAGCTGAACTTAGAAATGCATACATGGGCAAGAGCATTTTTAAGTCTTTGTATCCCTAAATTGTTATCAAAAATGTTATTGTTAAAAATCGATGACTCAATTTTACTTCCAGCTGACAAATGGGAGCGAGATCTCTCCATTAAGGTTACCTGGACACACATATGCTTAAATACGATCAAAATGTTGCAAGTCCCAACTTACAACTTACACAAACCTCTCCATAGAACACACTATACATGTTCCAAGTGGGCATTATACACTCAAACATATGCACCCACTGCACAGGCAATTCTGGAGCCAGGAACCTTATGCATACACATAAACATACACACACACACACACAACACAAGACGGTTGATTTGTTTTTCTCTTCCGGGTGCTGTTTGTGATTGTTTTCTTGTATGGTTTTTTTTCTTAAACTTGCAGCTTTTGGCGATTTATTGCTTCTCTGTTCTCTTTATCTTTTTATATATTTTCTGCCCTTTTTTTCTCTCTCTCCTACTTTTCAGCTTTGACACTGTTATGTTACACATGTACTGTAATAACAGAAATAATGTTCATAGAAATTAATAACTTAACATGTAAAAGAAGCACATGAACAAGAGTAGCCAAGAGAGAATTTATAGAGCTCATCTTGGAAAAGGAAATGTGTTTGTTACCACGCTGCATTCAGATCATAATTCTGATTGCAAAAGCTGCCAGACAACAAAGGCTAGAAATTTTTTTTAAACTTAAGACATAACTGACTCCATCTAAGAATAAACACACATAAACTAGCCTACTGGACACAAGAAAGGAGGATATGTTAGTGTTGGTGGTGATTAGCTCATGCCCATCTAGCTGTCTGTATGGAGTTTGGATGTCTGTGCGTGTTCTCTGTGGTTACTCAGCTGTTGTGCCACAGTCCCCACTTAGCAGGATTATTTTAACAGGTGATTGTAAATTGGCAATATGTGCAAATGTGACAGTAAATTTAGGGCTGGATATTCCCAAATCTGGAAATACATACTGTATACATAATTGACAGTTATCCATACCTCATTTATTTCATGATTTTATTTCATTATATACCTGTGGCACAGTGATTAGCACTGTTGCTTTACAGCAAGAAGGCTTGGATTTCATCTCCACTATGTGGCCGGGGCCTTTCTATGTGGAGTTTTCATGTTTTACCCGTGTTTGTGTGGGTTCTGTCCGGGTATGCTGCATGCAGTTAGAGGTATTAGGTAAACTGGTGATTCTAAATTGCACATAGGTGTGAATGACAGTGTGAATTTTTGTCTGTATCTATGTCTTAGGTCTGCAACAGACTGGCAACCTGTCCAGAATGGTACCCCGCCTCTCGTCCAATGGTTGCTGGGATAGGTTTTGGCCCTCATAAGGATAAGCAGAAGAGGATGAATGGATGGATCTGCACTCTGAACATATAAATATAAATATGCTTTATTTTCTGTGTCATGTTGCTATTGTCTGTTTGTCTACTCTGTTAAGGACATAAGCTAAATTACTTGTATGTGTACACATACCTGATATTCTACACTATAATCTACAAATTGTATAGAATATACTATATTTCTGAAATATTATGTTTTAAATTATGGCTCCACAGTGTAATTGTTTACACATTTGCCTACAAAGTGAACAATCCCCTGTTATATCCCGGGAGGTGACAAATCCCTCGAGTTGCATCAACACAGGCATCTGGCATAAAAATGTGCCAAATCAAACATGCAGAGGTTCCTGCAGTGGTGATCATGTGGGAATAAGGGCGCATCTTTAAGTAGCTTTATACAAATATTTCCACTACACTTTGTGTAGTTTGTCTACTAGAACGGTTGTCTCTGGCATCAAGTCATGCATTCCAGAACTTCAGGTGAAATGGAAATGTTCATACATGCTGTCATACCTCAATTACTGTCCAGAATGCTGCTTCAAGGATTTGCACGGAGTCCTCTATAAGGTAATGTGTGACGTCTTTACATAGGTTACTCATAAAGTAGGATTGGTAAATGCACTGTTCTTGTATAGTGCTTTTCTACTGTCCTTGAGTACTCAACAAGCTTTATACAACATGGTGCATTCACACATTCATGCAGTCACTTTTTCCTGTGCCTAAGTTCTTTCTATGTAGTATTCAAACACATTCCCACTCTCATGAAAGCATCAGAGAGCATCTTGGGGATCAGTTTGCAGGTGGTGCCTCTGGTCACATTACAGAAAATAAAGAGACTGCTTTTGAGGTTGTAATATCCAACCTGTGGAAGTTGGTTCAATTGGTATAAAGCTGTGTTGTTTTAATGTTACAAATATATACATTTTTAGAACATTTTCTGATTCACTATCTGTGATTTGCTTAAAAATGTTAATCTTTTGGTTCAAAGTTTGAACATATGTGCTTTTACCTTCATATATCATAGTTTTCAGGCCATTTTGGCACATTGGAATCTGAGGCCATTCTTGAATATACCTTAAAAACAATTAAAGATAAAAGTATGACATTTATATTTCCCTTTCTTAATTTAGATCTATAATTTGAAAGAAATACATTACAATATCTGAGATTTCACTAGTTAAAATATTTTAAAAATCCAGGGAAGGTAATAAGGTAATAACCTGAAATTCTTAAACATGAAAATTAAGAAAATTATATTTTCATTCAACTTTTATGCTCAGCATTTATTCAGACGGTTATCATACCCTTTCTCTGATCTCGCCTTACCTCTGGCAGCCGTGGCATTGTGGTTAGAGTTGGGTTAAGGGGTTAGGTGTTAAGCTGAGGTATTTAGGGTTTGTGTCTTATTAGCATCAGACTACCAATTCTGTCATGTGGACACAGCAGCTGGGTCTTGCAAGACTACATTATTATTCTAGGGGCCATGTTATTCATTGCTAAGTATATAAATTACTTGCTTGATGTTAAATAAGGAAATGGACTTCATGCCTATGAATAAACACAATTTAGTCTATGGGAAGCACCAGCACAGTTTGGTAGATTTTTAAGTGTTTTTTACTTCTTCTTCTTCTTCCTTCCCCTTTAAATTAATTTTTTTTTTTAAATTACTATTGATATTTCATGTTTCATGTCAGGTTTTCATCATAGCACATGAAATATAAATCCTTTGAAGTATACATATATAATGTCTGCTTCTCTGTCTCCGTTAGGTTAGAATATATAATCATTTTTCTAAAGCTCCCATTCCTTAATCAGCCCAAAGATACTTCTCTTCTGCCTGATTGCATTCACAGACCCATATCAGCAGTAGCATCTGGAGACTTTGTGGAACTGTCTTGATGTGGCAGATAAGCTGCCCATTATAGATAGGTCAGCAAACCCTCTGCTTAAGAAATGTATAATTTTGTCTTATTTCACAATTGATTTTTTTTCTATTTAAGAGTCCCTTGCAGGTTTAGAGTAAATATTGTCAAATGGCCAGACTACAAAATCAGCAGTGTTTGAGTTCATATCTTTGCAAGCATTTATACTTTGAAATGCTGGACTAATTCGTCATATAGTAAAATGGAAAAACTTTGGGGAAAATACCTTTCATTGCCTCCATATAGTTTTTAAGTGTCATTAAAGACCAGTCTTAATCCTATAATTTACTGCCCTCTTGATGGCCACAGTTAGTTGTTGTCTTTGGGAGCTGGACTTCTGGACTACCAGTAACGGAAATGGTGAGCTAACACGTTTAACATATTGATAGATCCTAAGTGTTTTGCCATTTTTTAAGTAGTGTGTCTCACAAAATCAGTTATTTGGCAAAACCTTTACCACCCAACACCCCTCTTTAGACACGCTCCTGCTATAGCTATCACATTATTAATGCCATGTCACTCCTAAATCAGACATCATCAGAAGCATACTACATGGGCTGAGGGCAAAAAGAACTGGAGTGATGCTTAGTGATCCATAGTCCTCTTTAGGGTGGAAGAGAGTGATACAAGAATGAGCCTTTAACCCAAAGGCTCATGTTTGCAAAAATAACATTGTAAAATGACAGAAATTTAAAAATTACAGAGATATTTTTCTAATGTTTGCATATTTTCCAGAAATATTTAAGTAACATTTTCAATAACATTTTCAATACTCTCATAGTGAAATTATTGTTTGCAACGTGTTATTCGAGCCTTCTGAATTTTAGTTACATTAATAAATTTTAATAAACCTTAACCAAGGTGTGGAAGTAGCTTTTTGTGAAAAGCTACTTTTTTAGACTTATGCAGTCCTCAGAAGACAGAATTGGTACAACAATGTCTTATAAAAGTTTCAAATATAATTTAAAATTTGTTCAAAATATAAATGTATGTTTTAGTCTACTCCAACCTTGTCTTACTAAATACGAGCCAAACAATCCAGCTGAACCAAAATTTTAAGTTCAGATGGAAAAACATACCTACTCCACAGAGAAAGGGCTGCTGTGATATTTAAAAAACATTTTTTTAAAAAGATTTTCCAGCACTGTATCATGTATGTAAAGTAAATGTAAAGTATGTAAAGTGTAAAGTATGAGATTTATAGTTCAAATGTAAAAGCAGTGTAATGTGACTGAGGAGGAAAAACTCTGAATAGCATAAAATACTGTAGATTTGAAAGCTAACTAAGTGTAATAATGGAAAACTTTACACAAACAACCAGTAATGTTCATTATAGCTTATTCTAACATTTTAATGAAATGCTGAAAGTCACCCACTTCCACTAAGGGCTTGATGGATATAGGTCCAACAAGAAATGCAGTTCAGGAAATAAGTCTCATGTGCTGCGTTTCAGTGAGCTTAGATCTTCACTTGTCCCTATGACAGCACCATTAAGACTTCTGTGCACACAGGAGCAATTGCAGATTGACGGAATGCTGCATTGTTAGCAAGACGTTTGGGACGCATATAATTCCTTTTATTTTTTTGATCTATTTAGTTTACTATTTAAATGATGAACGTATTAACTCAATTAGAACACTGCAGCAGCAGCAGCCGTGCAATCACGAGGCCTGGCGTTACTGACAGCAGTATAAAGAGGATGGAGATGAGAGAGGCCCACGGGCCAATAAAGAAGACACGAAAAGACAATGAAAAGGAAAGGTTTGAACGGGTAAAAGACGAGCTTTAATACACGCTGGAACAGGAAAGGTGAGGATGACAACGATCGGGCGACGACAGATATAAAAATCCTACCAATCTGGACGCTCGGAGATCCGCACAATGCCCCGCGCCATAAGAGTGCCACCAAAAATAGCAGCTTCATTGTGGTGTTCAGGATCCTCGCACAACACCACAGCATCTTACGATAGAGGTTCCTACCAAAACATCACCTCCATCAAAGACGATGTAATCTCATGGCGTTATTCCGGTGTTATTTAGAAACGTGTCGGGCTCTGCAGATGCGCGATCCTGTCGCCTGAGGTGCGCGTGCTGCTGCTGAAGCTGGACTTGAGGGCGCGCGCACTGAATTGCCCAGGAATGCCGATGAAGCACGAGAGAGAACCGAGAGCAGCCGACTGCTGCACATGAGGTTATTATAAACCTCCGCTCGAGGAGGCTGACACAAATTCTAACATAACAGATGCACACTGGGAATTTTTACAATAACTAATTTCTAATTGCATTAAGCAGTGCCTGAAAACTATTATAATAATTATATTATATACATTATAATTATGATTTCCTTCTGTCTTTTTTTATTATCGTAATCATTACATGCGCCTTTAAATATGTTACTATGTATTTTCACATTGCTGTATAGCAGCTGTGTCTTTAAATATTGCCGTGTTACGTAGGGCAAAAAGAGACTGAAGCCATCCCCACCCAACGCCCGGCTACCTCTATATCACAGCTAACGGAGTACCCTCCGTTAGCTGTGATAGAGATCTTAAAATCCAGCCTTATGTGACTGAAAATGATCCAAGTGCAAAAACAGAGCTTTTCTGTATGTCCTAATAATAAGGCATTTGGATTCTTACTCAAAGATAAATCAAAATTAGTTAGATCTATATATAAATGTGAAATGTTGTTTGAGTAGTGAAAATGTTCTAATGGCTCAGTACTGTGTCTGTGATTGTGCGTGTGTGCACATGAGCCAGGAATGCAGGAAGACAATAACTGTGTTGTCACACAAAATCCTGAATCAGAACAATAATTGTTAAACACAGAACCAGGATTTATATGAGGTTTTACTACTGCAATCGCTTAAAACTGATCAAACTGTAACACAGCAAATGTAAATATGTTCAATTGGTCAATACTGGCATGTTGAATCGAAATAAAATAAATAAAAATAAAAAATGTTTAAGTTAACTAGTATAATAAATCAATAAATGTGATTCTAATAACTGGCCTCACTGAGAGCCTGTACAGAGTCTGACCTTGGTGTGTGTGTGTGTGTGTGTGTGTGTGTGTGTGTGTGTGTGTGTATGTATGTGTGTTTGGTGCAGGATGGGTCAACATGACACACTGGAGCCACTAATTTCAGTGAATGTCTGACTCACAAAATGTATGATTTTATAAAAGAAGTTGACTAAAATAAATTTTAAAAATAAATAAACGTTGATTGACAAACATTATGAAAAGAAAGTGTTATCTTCTGTATTTGAATTATAAAGGAATTATGTTACAATAAATGTTCATGTGAAAATGTGCTAAAAACAAATCTGAATTACATAAACTGAATGAAACAGAATAAATTATATCCATGTGTGACTGAATATTTAAATGTGATGTGAACTCTCTATACTAGAAATAACAAAGAATATGTAATAACCAGTGTTGGGGAGTAACGGAATACATGTACCGCCGTTACGTATTTAGAATACAAAATATGAGTAACTGTATTCCGTTACAGTTACCGTTTAAAAAGGTGGTATTCAGAATACAGTTACTTTGTTGAAATAAATGGAATACACTGGGGTACTTTCCTGTTTCATTTTGTCGCGGGCCAGGACTGTTTGGGTTTTGTTTGACAGCTACGTTCTTTTGTTCCAGGCGGCAGCGTTACGGTTGCCATGGTTACAGGGCGACGCTCTCTCTCTCTGCGACTGTGTGTTTCCTGGGTGAGAGAGCGCCTTTTCGTTGTTGTTGTTGTTGTGCTAAGCTAACAGGCAGAATGCTACAAGCATAGCTCTAAAGAATGTAGCATCATGTTCAGTGTAGTCCGTGCTGCAGGGAGAATGGACTGCCATACACGTTATGTGTCTGTGAGCGCTAGGAGGGAGAAAAAGGGGAGTGGAAAGGTACGAGCAGTCATCGAGCAAAAACGGGAGCTGGAAGCATGTAAATATAATAATAACCACTGCAGCCAAGAAGAGTGCCTGACGAGCCCAGTTGTAAGTAAGCTATTAAGACTCGACTGTACACCGTGTTCGTGTTTTCCTCCGAAAACAACAAGTTCCGTTGGAGCAGCCTTTCAACGCCTCTCTCTGTCTCTCGCAAGAAAAGTTGACCCACACAACAAAGTAAAGCTATTTTTCGGCTACGAGCCGACAGGGACCCCGCCGTATTAGTGCTGGGCTTACACTGTGCGATTTTTTCAGTCGCGCGATTCAGCTCCTGCTCAAACTGATTGACTCGCAGGGGTTAGAAGTTCATAGGTCACGATGCAGGGTCTCACACTATACGGCCCGATGCTCTGATGCGACCTGAGTGCTCACACTGTGCGTCCATAAAATGAAGGTTATAACAGAAATTCTGTCGCTCGCTCTCCCTCTCGTCTTTCACTCACACAGACACACCACCACCATCAACTTTGCTAAATTGCTAATGAAAAACATTGATCAGGCAGCTGTGATTGAGCAGCAGTGTCGATCCAACTATTTTCACGGTTGTTGTGGTCGTGATAATTTTGTGAGGCCACATCGAAAGGGCTCGGATGGTTCTACAGGTTGTGCCTCCATCGCTTGTGTCCAGATCACACGCTGCACTGCCGTGCTACGCCGTCTTTTTCGCTGACATTTGTGTTTGCGCGTGCGCAGTGTGGCAAACTGCGGTGACACCCTCACGACCAAGCGATTGATGATCGGGAGCTGGTCGTGAGGTGTCAATCGCTTCTCGTTACCCCACGTATACTACACGATGCACGACGCACGATGAAGGCCAAAATCGGGCCGATCGCCAAAACGATCGCACGACTCAAAAATCGGCTCAAAATGGGCCAAAAATCGCACAGTGTGAGCCCAGCATTAGTCAGAGGTCCCTTTACTACAGTTCGGAGTCGCGGACCTTCAGTAATAGTAATAAATCACACAGCAATAGTACATTCACGTTGTTGTAAAAAGCATGATAATATTGTAGCGGGTCAGGGCTGTTCGGGGTTCTGCTTGTACAGTTATGTTTTGTGTATGTTGCCATGGTGACGGGTGACGCCCTCTCGCTGCGACGGTGTGTCCTTCCGGGGTCAGAGGGCGCCCTATGTGTGTTGTGGTTGCCGCGCTGAGCAGTTAGCTAGTGGCAGTGTGTTCTTCTGCAAATGTAATAAACGGCTGTGCTCCCTGGCTAGCTCACGGGAAGCAAGACCAAACGATACCTCCGTCTCCTCCTTGTCTGAACTCGCCACAATATATTAAGTAATCCAAAGTATTCAGAATACGTTACTGTCATTGAGTAACGTAACGGAATACGTTACAGAATACATTTTGGGGCATGTATTCTGTATTCTGTAATGGAATACATTTTAAAAGTAACCTTCCCAACACTGGTAATAAAGTGGTTTTAAAGGTTAAACTTTGTGTTAAAGTTGGATAAACAGAGACTGATAGATAGGGTGTGGGTGGACACTGGATGATTAGACGTAAACAGCTTGACTGAATGACCAAAATATGAAGATGTGATGGCTAGCATGAGAGGGGGGAGAAAAGTGGGCTGTAATAGAGATTTGGGTTCTTTCCTTTTTGTCTTCTGTGAGATGAGCAGTTCAGAAGATTGGATCTAAGAGGTTCAAGTTAAAATTCCAGCAGGGATGCGAGTGTGAAAACAGCAGCACAATCTGTGAACCTGTGAATTGATCTTGTAATTTTTGTCTTTCCATCTCATCTCATTTTTTCCATGTTATGTGGTTAATTCACAAGGATTTTGGTTTACATTATACTTCTACTGGATGGCCAGCTGTTTGGAGATGATCATCTACTTGGAAACAAAGGGATAAGTGCAACTTTAGGTCTGGTTGTGCTCATTCTCTCTCCAACCTCTCTTCACCAAAGATAAGAACAAAATCAGCATTAGCTCAGAGTAGGTAAGTTATATAAGTATAGATTAAGTGATTTGGTTATTGTTTTGTCATTATTACTATTTGCTAAATTGCTTTAGTATAATCCCCTGCAATTAAAGTTTAAATTGTGGACATTCACTTATTATCCTTTAGTGAAACACATTCGGCACAGGATTATCTGTACAGAACATGGCCCGGAAGTCCCGTTCCCTAGGGCAGTTGAGAATGATCGAGCTAACATCCTGTGGGACTTTTACAAATGGACAAATGGTGATGGTGGATGACCAGAGGAAGAAGGCTATAGTGTAGCAACATGTAGTGATGGCAACATGAGGAAAAGGAACACGAGATGCTTGTGAAATAACAAGGGCTGAGTGAGGAGCTCTAGGGTGGAGGAATAATTTTTATTATTGAACAACAACCATGTTCTCAATTAACCCAAAAAACTCATTAATATCAAAGCTGAATGTTTTTGGAAGTAGTTTTTAGTTTTAGCTATTTTAGGGGGATATCTGTGTGTGCAGGTGACTATTACTGTGCATAATTATTAGGCAACTTAACAAAAAACAAATATATACCCATTTCAATTATTTATTTTTACCAGTGAAACCAATATAACATCTCCACATTCACAAATATACATTTCTGACATTCAAAAACAAAACAAAAACAAATCAGCGACCAATATAGCCACCTTTCTTTGCAAGGACACTCAAAAGCCTGCCATCCATGGATTCTGTCAGTGTTTTGATCTGTTCACCATCAACATTGCGTGCAGCAGCAACCACAGCCTCCCAGACACTGTTCAGAGAGGTGTACTGTTTTCCCTCCTTGTAAATCTCACATTTGATGATGGACCACAGGTTCTCAATGGGGTTCAGATCAGGTGAACAAGGAGGCCATGTCATTAGTTTTTCTTCTTTTATACCCTTTCTTGCCAGCCACGCTGTGGAGTACTTGGACGCGTGTGATGGAGCATTGTCCTGCATGAAAATCATGTTTTTCTTGAAGGATGCAGACTTCTTCCTGTACCACTGCTTGAAGAAGGTGTCTTCCAGAAACTGGCAGTAGGACTGGGAGTTGAGCTTGACTCCATCCTCAACCCGAAAAGGCCCCACAAGCTCATCTTTGATGATACCAGCCCAAACCAGTACTCCACCTCCACCTTGCTGGCGTCTGAGTCGGACTGGAGCTCTCTGCCCTTTACCAATCCAGCCACGGGCCCATCCATCTGGCCCATCAAGACTCACTCTCATTTCATCAGTCCATAAAACCTTAGAAAAACCAGT